GTTATCACCTGAAAAGTTTGCAATGTAATCGACGATAAACTAATGCTAATGATAATACTGACCAAAATAATCCCAATATTACCAGGACTTATGGGACAATTTTTAAGACGATAATAGCAGTAATGTTATACACCGAAACTAGAACGCCTTTATGAACTATTCGGTAGAAAGTCGGTCCAGTGGTCGCTCTAAAACGATGACAGTTGCATTTTCCGCATATAGACAACATTTAGTTCAGATAATCATTCCACTTTGAATGAATCGATGAAACGTTGCGATCAAGTCTCGATAACACATTCAACAAATCCAATATAAAACATGTTTATTCTTTCATACAACTTGAACAAAATGCTAAATTCACGAAATCAAAACGAATCAACAGATAATGAGATTTCTCCCGATATTTCTATACTGCAATCTGCATCCGTTTTATTTTATTTCCCGCACCTTCAGCACTCGACTTTCAAATAAACATTCATGAGATCACTTGTAAAAGAAACATAGTCGCTCAAATCAACAGTGCATTTCTTGCAATACTATACATAACAGAATTCGAAATAAAATCATCGATAACATCTAAACGNTACGAAAAAATGTTAAAGTGATAATATCACGAAGACAACAGTAATGAGGGTATTTTGATAAAAATTACAAAGTTATTACAACAACAGTTCAATCAACAATAATAATAGCAATACTTACAAAAAAAGTTCAGTGACTCACATTCGAAATATCACCAATTTACAGAAATGAAACGTAAACAACTTTTCAGTCTATTCACGAATGAACAATGATAATCAAAGCATTGCATTCATTCAAATTTGGCTAATCAAAAACAACAAAAACGAAAACATAAATTTTTCTCAATCCGTTATGAACAATCGACCAGAAATGTCCGTACAAAGCCAATCCAATGCCTCCAAAAGATTTTCGCCCGTCACTGAACTGCATGCGAACACTCGCCAATGATGTGTTTCTAGTTTTGATAATTCTAATAACTGAAAAAAAAGAAAACACTTAACCATTGCAACCATATTCACTGAAAAAATTCTCAACAAGTTGAGGATGTGCTCGTTAAAATGGCAATTCTCGACTAAATGCCAAGTTATTCGTTAAAATGCCACTTCTCGAAATCAACCAAGAAAATAAAAGCGAGTGGACAACCTCTTCGATTTGTTGCTTGCTGGCACTTGAAGGCAGATCTTGTTTGTTCGCCAAAATCAATAACGAGGCACCAATAAGACGTTCTTCAACCTTAAACAACAGCATTATCAGAGTGATAAACCAGTCAATATTGATAGATGTTATCACGAGAAGTCAATAGTGATCATAATGTGATCAGCACAACAACTACGAAAAACAAAAAACGAACCAAAAGTTTTTCCAGCTCTCGTTTGCAATCGTCCATTCGATCAATGTCCACCGAATCAATCACCCAGATCACGCCATCGGTTTGCTCGAAATAATTTCGCCAATACGATCTCAGACTCTTCTGGCCCCCAACATCCCACATGTTCAATTTGAACCCTTTGAATTCGAGTGTTTTGATGTTAAAGCCTGAAAAGATAATTTAAGAATCACCATCATCACATTATGAACTGTGAAAAACATCCAGTAAAGAAAGCAAAAATGTAATAAATAGAAGATAATTTCGAATAGCAACTGCTACACAACAACAATAATGAAAACGATAATGAGACTAATAACATTAATAACTGTTTCCAACAATATTCAATACTTAACACCAAATTTTCCTATTTCATTCCAAAAAATCATCAAAATGATGCTAATGATCACAACACGTGATGATTATGATTCAATGACTAGATATTTCTGATAGCTGCCGTAATCACGCCAAGGAAAATGGACAAAAAATCTTTTGAATAACTCGACAATCATCATGCCAATAATACTAAATAAACGAACAAAATTACGAACGCCTAATTGATAGCAAAGATGAATATAATGAATAAATCACACGAATGCGTATGACTTCTTGTTAGCTGCGCTCAAAAAAGATGCATTGGAAACTGTTATATTCATGGTATTGATGGTAATATAGAGGCATCGATTCGTGAAGGATTGCAACTGCTAACTGAATAATTAAACAAACAAAACAACTGACCGACTGTCGGAGAAATCTCATCGATATCCTCGCCGTTTAACTTCTTTAGCATTGTCGTTTTGCCAGCGTTGTCCAATCCGAGGATCAAAATTCTCATTTCCTTTTCTTTCCTTTTCAGTTTTTTCAAAATTGTCAGCAGACCCATTGTTCGAACTAATCTGAAAATGCTCGAATTCCTTTAATGCAATCATACAATAATAATAATAATAATAATACACCCGAACATCAACCACAGCAATAATTACACAAAATAACACGCATCACAACACGGCAACACTCTCGACGACATCAGGTTAAAACCTGTTCCTTGAAATCACATCAATTACTTTGCACTATGCAACCAGGCTACTTGCGAAACATATGATGACTGTTTCATATGCAATAATGCATCAAACACATTAAATATATATACAAGTACACCCATTGATTGCAATAGTTATGTGCACATACACATCGTTCTGTCACTGCAGTGATGTGATAGATGTTTATTTCTATAAAAATATATCACATGGAGCATATGATTCATCCATTGCATATGAAATTTCATACAATTCAAGTATTACTAATGGAATATGAAGGTATCGAACATGTAGACATGAAAAAATGTGTCTACTGAGCTTATGTAAATCGATTTCAAGCTGTGTCGTCCGGCCCAATGGCTAAAGCTCTTTAACTGACTGTTTAAAGTTAGCTTTATCTAGAGTGACTTTTAGATCGTAAGCACTATGAATCACGTACGAGACAGCTGATTCATTAACCACAGCCTTTGTTATTCGACTGCAATCAATTGAGAAATCATCATAATGGTGTGGATCGATGTGCCTGTGTTGTATGAGTGAAGTGCCACAAAATGCAGTGTTCACAAGCCGCCATAGCTCAGTCGGTTAGAGCGTGGGTCTAATAAGCCCAAG